GTGTCTTTCAACATCATTTGACTTCCGGTAGTTAAGGCAATCCTGCATTGAAAAATTGATGCTAGTAGTTACACTAGAGTCTAACCACCAAGGGTTTTTAGGTACTGAAGCTAAATTGACCTCAGAACAAATCGTATGAAATGTACCTTTCTTTGCACGCCAAACGTGATATTTAGGATATTTCTTCTTCACATGTCCAAACATATTGCAGAAGAATAATTGTCATCATATTTTTGTTTCTTTGTGCTAGAACATTTGCAGCTTCATTCTTGGACTAATTATTTTCTTTTTCTTTTTCCTTTTTCTTTAGAGGTGCCAACAAAATGAGTGTTTTTTGTCTTATCTTGCTCTATCCTTTCCTCTTCTTGCACATAAAATGAAATGAGCTTATTAAGAGGTAATTTCTCATTTGACAATTATAAGTTATCTGATACTAGGGGTATTCAAAACTGAACCAACCCAATAGAAAATCACAAACCAAACCGAAACCGTAAAAAACTGCATTTGGTTCAGACATATTTGGGCAATTTTTTAACAAAACTGTGCGATTCAGTTTGGTTTGCGGTTTGTATTTTTCAAACCGAACTAAACCAAACCAAACCGCATTATGTTACAACCCAAACTTCACTTATCCCACATCCAATCCAAAACCAAAACCTATAATGTCTTAACCTTACAATTGCAAACGATTTTCTCTTACTCACACTTAGGGTTTCAGTTTCAACCTTCATCTCTTCTAGTAGTATTGTGCATTCTTCTCATCTTCTTTATCATGTACGTCTCGTCTCTTCTACTATAATATCTCCTCTCTTATATTTTTTGTTTTTCACCTTCTCATTTTTATGTTACTGTTTTCTCTTCTAATTACATTTTTATTGCACTTTTCTTCTCTAATCTCACATCTCTTACGTTCTTTCTTTTTCTTATTCTCTAATCTCTCCTCTCATCTGTTTTTTTTTATGTTTTATTATAATGTCTTTGATATTATTTTATGATACTATTTTATGTTATTTATTCCACTTTTATCTAGTCTTATTTTTGTATATTGAATGAGAATATTTTGTCTAAATATGATTAATTTTGATTTTATTTGGTAATGTATGAATGACTAAACACAAAGTTATGTTGTTCTTCATGGGTGTATGTATGGCTCAATAAAAATCTTGTAAAAAATCAAACCAACCCAAACCGCGTTGTTTTTGTTTGGTTTGGTTTTATTTTTAAAAGCCAACTAAACCAAACCAAACCGAATGCTTTTTCCTCTTGCCCTTTGGGTGATTTTTATCGTCAAAATTGCCCAAATCGCACCGCGAACACCCTTATCTGAAATTGACTTAATTGCAAAGGAAGAGAAAGTAATAAATGAATGAGCAAGTCTTCTGACAGCTTAAACTTTAGTGCCTTAAGTTTTGAAATAATGTTTGATGTGCCCTTAATGTATTCCCTTATATTATTTTGCCTTGATACTTTATGGAAATCAAGTTCTGAAGAATAATACTTGTTCTACCTTATTTCTTTTTTCAAAGCGCTTTCACTCTCAGCAAGAATTTTTTTGGCATTTGTTATATCTTTTGAGATAGTACCCCTAAAAACCTCAGAAATGTCGCGTTTAATGATCATGTACCCATGCGATTGGAGCAATCCCACTTCTCATAATCTTTCCTATGTTTAGAGGTACTAGATTTCATAGGAGATGTTGGTTGCTCCGTTCTTAATGTAAGGTCAAGATCGATGCAGGAAAGAACACTTTCTATGTTTTCTTTTCATTCCTTGAAATTTGCTCCATTAAGGATCGGAACTGAATTTAGATTAGTAGACATTAAAGCAATTGTAGCTGAAAAATAGATCAAAATAAACACTATAAACATACCCACATAAAATAAAATTAACTTAATCATCAATATGTTCAAAATATGGCATAACTCATCTCAAGATACCTAGTGCATCATCAATATCGAGTTTTTGGACAATAATATTAACTACTAGTGGTATTTTGTTGTAATGGTCAAACATTGATGATAAAACATGTCAAAGAATAAATTTGTCTTTAAATTTATTTATTATTCACATGTGAGATCTTTTAATTATCACATATTTACCATCGCAGACGTGTATGAAATCCGGGCAGACACCAATTACCCTTTGGGTTAATTGATACTCGTATGGATAAAAATACACACAAATCAAAAAAAATTATTTAACATTTCTCATAAGTAATCTCCATAAAAGAAGTTATTTTGATGATTATTTATTTTAATAGACTCATTTAAAATGTTAAACTATTTTATAAAATATAAACTGTAACCAAATTTTAAATAAAATATATCAAAATTAATGCATAAAACAACTAAAAGACACAACCATGCAAATCAACACGACTTTTTCGTATTCCAATCTGTATCTGCTTTAACATTGTAGAATTTTTACAAAAATCATGATCTAAAAAACCAACATTGAATTTGAAGCAAAGCTAAAAAAACAGTTTAAATAAACAAATAAATGCAAGAAGAGGGATATTAATTTTGATTTGAACATAATAAACAAATTCAAATCCAATAAATTCACTAAATATCAATGACTATAAGTTCACTAGGATAGATATCAATAACTATAAGGCAATTTATTAATGCATCTTATATATTTTTAATGCATCACATAAATTTTAAAAATAGTATTTGTTTTGGAGATGTATCTCTGAACGTATCATAATTCATACATTTTATTTGTTTTTAAATCACATTTTAATTTTATAAATAAATTTATTCTAAAAATATATTTTTAAAATCTAATAAATAACAAAAATATAGTGTATCAATTGGAAGAAGTCACTTGCAGTAGCTTTCTATATCAGTTGAAATATAAATATAGGCTATCAATTGACACCGAAGCAGCACTACTTGCAATAGCTTTCTGTATTAATTGAAAGAAACCACAGATCATGAATTTGAACATGAGAAAACTAATGAAATTTCTAGAAGCAGCACTACTTGCAATAGCTTTTTGTATTGATTGCATTTTTCTGTTTTTTTTTTAATTTTCGGAGATGTATTTTTAAAAATATTTTTGAAATAAATTTATTTATAAAATCAGAGTGAGATTTAAAAATAAATAAAATATATATATTAGAATGTATCTAGAGATATATATCTATAAATTAAAAGATATTTTTAAATTTTTTACATGATACTTAAATAGGATGCACTAAAAAAAGTTCTTATAATTAATTCTCTGGACCATCTCTTTCACCCTGAGATTACCGCATGCTTTAATATTCAAACTGCTAAGCATTTCTTCGAAGAAAATTGTGGAATTGGTCCAAAGATTTGACTTTATCATAAATTGAAAAATAAAAAAACATTAAGGCAGATTAGGGGCAAGAATTCAAACACAGAATGCATATTCGCAAACTCCCGATATTGATGATGATAGTTAGTTAAGATTTAATATAATTATCAACAAATTAGAAGATAAAAAAAAATCTCAATTTTAAAATCTCAATTTTAAAATCTCAATTTTAAAAAATTCTTAAATTTTAAATTAAAATGGGTATAGTGACTCTGATACCACTTGTTAGATTTAGATATGAATAACTCTGATATCATTTGTTAGATCTGTTTGATAACTTAATAGTTTCTACTCGTAGAAATCAAGAATATAATTTTAAACTAATACCTATGAGCTAAATATATCATATCTCTTAAACTCATACCAGAATTCAATTAGAGGATAAAAGTAAAAACTATATGAGTTTGTCATTGAAATCATTGAAAATTGCAAATATTTGATCTTTCGATTTATAGAATTTTTTAAGGTTATTAGAATCTCTTCTAATGAAGATGAAGAGGAAATTTATACAAACTTTGTATTTCTATTGCTCTATAAATGGGGACTATAACACATATAAATAACCTTGTGATTATTTTTTTGTTTTTAATATTCCAATTTGTCCTTTCATCAAATTAGATATTGATTTATGATATCTATATAATAGTCTTATTTTTCATGATATTTACGCTTTTAATCACATATTTAATATTAATTAAACTACTATAGCTTTGACAAATTAAATAATGACTCTAACACAAGTAATATTATATTTGTAATCTAACAATTTTAATAAACATATAATTGGTTACTCACTAAAGCGTTGGGTGTCTAACAAATATATGGAGATACATCTCCAAATAAATTTTTAAATAGCATAGAATAGTTCCCTAACTATTAAATATTTGAGGTGTGTAATATGAGGTGCTCGATGATATATCTTCGAAATTTATAAATTTTTATGACTTCACCGGGATGAAATAGCAACCCATGAAATGAATAAAGTAATAAAACTAACTCGAATATGATATAAGATAATGATTAAAAAATTTAGTGGGCATGATCACATTGTCTCAATAAAAAAGAAAATGAAAGTTTAATATTGAAAATGAACACTATTGAATAGGGACCATGCATCTTTCTTTTCTTTGTTTTAATTCACATCTATTATTTTATTTTATTTTCATTTCTTGACAGCCAAGGCATGACTTTTGCACTCCATAATATTTTATGCATAAAACATGTTAGTTTGTTTCTTCTACAATTAAATATCAAGAAGATTTATAATATTATTACACTTGATACAGATCATAATTCATGAAGAACAAGAGAGTAGCGGTTACAACCAACACTGACACGGGTCAGGATGCTTCAATGACATACATGTATAATGTTTTTGTTTGGAAGGAAGGGAAGTAATGAGAACAAAACCACCACATTTACATGCATCACCTGTATGTGCAGTTAAAACTATGGCCACAGTTTTTACAACACATTTTTTCCTAGTTACAGTACAAATAGGATCCCAAATTAATGATAACATAGCTATGCTAGAGGACCATAATGAGTTCAAGTTTTGATTTCTATGTTTGCATGGTAAAGTACACAAAGTTACAAGGAATAATGATGCTCTACAATAAACATGTTTTGTCACAATCCTATGTTTTGAAGAACACTTAGCCAGAGCTATTACGAGACGAAGAACCTTGGTTGTTCATCAGGAAACGAACGACGACACAAGTAATGTTGTCAGAACTGCCTCTCTGATACGCTTCTTTCATCAGCCTCTTTGCTGCTACCTCTGCATCCTCGATTGGTTTAATCATAGCAACAGCTTCCTAGAGAAAAGCGGGGAAAAAAAACAATTCATTTATATCTATGATTATGAAAATGCATTATATACTCATCAAAAAGAAAACATTGGAAGCGAAAATGACAGCAAACCTCGTTAGAGACAACATCCCATAGCCCGTCACTAGCCAATATAAGAAACTCGAGAGAGCTATCAACTTTTTCTTCCTACAAAACCGTAAATATGTATGCATGGTTAATTTTTATCTTCTCATGTGAAACACAGTTTCTCTCTTCGATTTATTGATAGGATGCTTTTCAATGGCTGCAAATCGTTTTTATATACTATCATGAACCATGAACAGAAAAAAAGACGAGATGACTTTAAAAAATATGCAATATTCAAGAATGAATGTGTATTAGAAACACACCTGAATTTCTGGATCAGCAACAACGTATTGCTTAAGGAGTCTATCACCAAATGCACGAGAAACAGCAAGAACACCACCAACTCTCCAAGTTCCTAGTAAAGATTGGTTTAGCTTGTGAGTTATCTATACAATAACCATGCCTTATCCCACTATGTTGGGTTGGCTACATGGATCAGCTTTCTCCATAATGTTCTATCCAGAACCAAATCGTTAATCTCGGGAAGTAAAAAAGAATCACAATTATAAGATGACATTACCAGCCCACATAACGAAACCACCTGCGTCTTCTATCCTTTGCCTCTCATCGGTTTGATCTGGTTTGTGATCTCGGGACACAGCAATAGCTAAAGGTAACAACAAATAGTAAATATAATATTTAAGCCAGCAGAAAAGTATAGGGTGAAAATTAACATCATGTAGAAACTACCGAAACCATTTGACAACCGTAACGATTATGACTTCATCAGGTATTAGAAAATTATATTCATGTGAAACGAGTATAAGTTATACATCGTATGCAACTAAGAACGTATTTATGATACAAGAACATGCAGATAGCTACTAGCGCCTTACCATTTCCACCCCTGCATATAACAGCTCTAGAGTCCCCGACATTTGCAACAAGCAACCGATCACCAACAAGAATGGCAGTGGAAGCAGTAGATCCAGCATCTCTGTTTTGGTTATTTTCTGATTTCAGAAATTCAGAGTCGGTATGAGTATATGCATCAGCTGTGGAAAAAAAATCCGATTCAACATGAGCATTGTTATTCTTCATATTTAGCAAATTGAAGAAGACCAGTTTAAAGGATCGAACTGGTATGGATAAGAAGCTTCAAACCTATTGCAGATTTGGTGTCAGAAATGAATTTTGGGTGACTGATCAAATTGCTAAATAGATTTTGCTTGACATACTCTGCAGCACGAGCGCCGCCGTGACCTGAAAGTTTTAAACAAGAAAGTTGCAGCTACCTTCATTTTTAGCAGATAATGTATAAGTATCAAAAAGCATAGGTCGTCAATAGTTCTGACATGCTTAAATGCTAGAAAATAATTACTTTCTGATTCCATATAAATAAAAACACTGCACCGAGTAATTGCTCCAATTATAATGAATTAATAAATTGAAGGCTCTTCTTCATCACAACAAGAAATACATGCGAAAGAAAGTATCAGTCAATGGTGAAGGCTCTCGAAATTATGCCTAAAGACAGATCACTTGGATTAGATGGGAAACCTCGAGAGGTAGGGTTCATTTGAAAGTACTTTGAGCGATCAGAACAATCAAAAATCCAAAACCAGATATATACATCATGAGACTGTAACTGTAAGCAAATCCAAATGTTCCTCTTTATGTGTGCGCGCATGTGCATTTGAGAAAATAAAAGCAAAAGCCTAGAAGTATTGCATATGGAAACAGTAAACCACATGGACTAATTAATTTTCCCATATCCCAAAAACTTCAAAAGGAAAATCCACTCACAGAAACAAATTAGTAAAAAAAATCTATAAGTAAAAAAGGTTAATTGTTCTATGGAACGATAGTTCATCACGTGTCTGATCAGGTGATCAATGTAAAACTACAACCAGCCCTTAGCTTGGCAACTCTGAAAGAAAGTAGCATGGATAGATATAAGGAGATAGAGATAGAAGGACTATGTAAATGTACCATCAAAAACTCCAAAAAGACCAACAACTTCTCCATCTACGCCGTCAATTCTTGTCTCGTAAAAATCTTCCATTGAAGATCTCTTGCCAGGGGAGCTGGCATATCCATAGCTGAACTTCCCATTCTGACTGAAGATACAAATCAAAACATTAACGTATGTCAAATCATCTCAATCAATCTACTCAAACACAGAATTGGACTAAGAAATCCAACAAAACAAAGATTAACCAGCACAACAACAATATCAACCAATGCCTAGTGAAAGAATTTTCTCAAAAATTCCGTTTCTCCTCAATTTGTGAACCATGATCAGAAAGAAAAGTACACAGACAATAACCACATAAAACCGAGTTGCGAAACTGCAAAGCAACAGAAGGAGCAATAGAAAACCAGAGACATGTTTAACATGAAAATTTTCAATACAAACCCTTCCAACTATGAATGATATTAATCAACAACAATAACTACAAACTATTAAATTGCCGCGTGCAGCCACAGTTTTTCACAATATCAAAGATCACAACACAGCAAACTGGCAACCGCGACAATAACCATTGTTTTAAATTGGCATCTGCAACTACAATTGTGGTCGCAATATAAAGATTTTCAGAACCCTCGGCAACACAACAAAAATCGCAGATGAATCTATCTTCAATTTTCTACCATAAACAATCCAAATTTTCACAATATCTCAAATCGCCACATAACCACAACCACAAAAGGTAACACAACATTTAACCGCAACAACAATTTAAAACCATTGGAATAAACAAACATTAAAACACAAACGATAAAACAAAAACCATTTCATCAAATTTCCAGATCTAAAGAAAAACAGACATCAACAAACCTGAGTCCTCCACCACTAACAGGTGAATCATCAGCAGCATGAACCTGACTTGAAGAAGACAAAACAGAATTGAGGTAGCCCATATCACAGGTTGAATATTCAAGGTTCTCAGATACAGCTTGTTTAACCAAAAAAAGGAAAATATGAAGAAGAAACAATTGCAATATTGCGTGCGTAGAGCTTATTCTTGCGTGAAAAAGGTTCCAAATTATCATAACAATAGTGGGAAAGTGGGGTCGTTTTATGGAATCAGAGACTTTCAAATTTTAATCTGCATAGAAACCCCACAAAGAAAAAAGTTCAGTTAATCCAAAAAAAAAAAATCAATTTTCTGAGAAAAGACTCAAACTTTTGATCACCCAATAGGTAAATATAAAGAAAAATACAAACTTTGTTGCATGGGATCTTCTTGTTTTTTTTTTGCATAAATCATTAAAAAAAAATTGAAGAAAATTAAGGAGAGAAAGTACCTGAGGGAGAGAGGAGAAGAGAAATGCCATGAGAGAGAGAGAGAGAGAGAGAATGAGACAAAGTTAGAACAATGAGAAAACAAAAGAGAATGGTTTTTTTTTCAATTTTAGTTGAAGTCAGCTCATTGTATTTTGTCTGTTTGATTGAACAACAATTGAGATTATCACATTCAATCAAATTTTTAGAATAAAATAATTAACATACCCAAAAAATGATTATATTTCTATAAAATAATTATTTTTCAGATACTTTTAATATTTTTTTCTCCTAAAAAATTGAATTGTTATTACTATAGTAATAAAAAGCTATTTAGATTTTTTCTTTTAAATACTTTATTACAATGAATGTAATATACGTCGAAAATTCACAAAAATCTATAGAGAATTTTACTGTACACTTGATAATGAAATACGATACGAAAAGATGAATTGGGAAAGAAAAAGAATTAGAGTTTTTGAAAAAAGAAAAAAAATGAATATTTTTGTAAAGTTTCTCTCTGCAATTCAAAACTGAAGTTATTTTTATTCAAAAAATGCAACTCAATTCACTATTATTTTAAAAAATAAGGGTTACTTCCTATTTATAGGTTGAGTTCGCTTGCTCACTAAGGAAAAACTCCAACTAACCTAATTCAGCTAGAATTACAAAATAAGCCTAAGTCAAAATCTCTATCGAGCAACGTGCTTCGACATTTTCTTACCTCTCTGTCGAGCAACCTGCTTCAATATAAGGAATCCAATTCAACACACCACATAATTGATTATGTCTAAACTATTTCATTCAGCGTAAACCTTAATTTCCTGAACACTTCGACTAGTATGCTTTCATTATAATGTCTGCAATCTGATTCTCAGTTTTGCAGTGTTTCATATTCAGCTTCCCTTTTGCAACTTTCTCTCGAAGATAATGGAACCTCATTTTAATGTGTTTGCTTCATCCATGCACTATCAGATTCTTCGCCAGATTGATGGCAGACATCTTGTTGATCTCATGGTAATTGCTTCATGATTCTTTCTTGTAATCTCTTCGACTAAATTCACCATCCATGTTGTTTGACATGCACAGAGGGAAGCAATTATATCCTCTTCTTCACACAAAGATATCACTACTATTGGTTATTTTCTTGAACTCCAAACAACTAGTGCACCACCTAGTATAAACACATAGTCAATTGTGGATTTTTTATCCTTAGCATCAGTACACCAACTAGAGTCGGTGTAAGTCACTAGCTTGCATCTTTTTTCTTCATCGGCTGCAGGAAACAAAATGCCATAGTTGAGACTTTCTTTCAGATACCTCAGTATCCTCTTCTTCGCTGTTAGGTGTGATATATTTGACTTCAGCTTGAATATATTCACCATACCTACACAATAAGCTAGGTCTGGCCTTGTGTGACAGAGGTATCGAAATGATCCAATGAGTCTTCTATATTGCGTTGGATCATCATCTTCTTCATCTGTATCTTTTGACAATTGCAATCTGGGTCAACTAAAGTCGAAGTTGAATTGTAATCTTACATCTCAAATCTCTTGAGTATTTCACCTGCATATCTTCTTTGGTGCATCATCAAGTCTCTACTACTCTTGTAGAATTCGATACCAAGGAAGTATGAGAAATTTCCCAAGTCTGACATTTCAAACTCCTCACTTAAGTCATGTTTGAAGTCTTCGATCTCCTTCTTGCAACTTCTTGTTATCAGCAGGTCATCGACATAGAGACATAGTATAAGAAATTCAATATTTCTTCTTCTTACATATACTTCATGCTTAGTTGTGCACTTCACAAATTCCGTCTCCCTTAAAAAGCTATTTATCTTCTTATTCCAAGCTCTTGGAGCTTGCTTAAGTCCATTCAGAGCTTTATGTAGCTTGTATATCTTGCTTTCTTCGCCTTGTTTCACAAACCCAACTGGTTGTATAACATAAACTTCTTCATCTAAAAAGCCTTTCAGGAATGCACATTTCACATCCATCTGACATATGTTCCAGTTGTTCATGTTTGCTAGACCAACAACCAACCTGATTATTTTGATCCATCTGACATATGTTCCAATTGTTCTCTAGCTTAAAAGGGACTACAGACATCTTTGCTCTTGGTATAAATGGTTTCAGTGCAAAAAATTTCAAGAGCTCTTGGGATATCATTAAGATGGATCTCATTAAAGCTGTCATGGATTTCTTTGAAAAGGAAAAATTGTACAAAGCTGTTAATTGCACCTTGGCGACCCTTATGCCCAAGACAAACAATGATGAACTGGTGAAAAACTACATACCTATATCCTGCTGCATTGTAATTTACAAGATCATTTCTAAAATTTTGGCTAAGAAGCTTGGCAAAGTTCTTGGATCCATCATTCATAGCAGCCAAGTTGCTTTTGTTCCAGGTAAGAAGATTCATGACCACGTCTTATTGGCTTATAAGATAATTAGAGGCTATAGTGCCAAAAATGGATCCCCCAAGTGTATGATTCAAATAGACCTGTAGAAGGCCTATGATACTTTGGATTGAGGGCTTTAGAATCCATCATGAGAGAGCTCAATTTACTCAACCAATTCATAAATTGGACTATGCTCACAGTCAGATCAGTCTCCTACAAATTCCAAATCAATAGTGTGTATTCCCTAGTGGTGGAAGCTAAGAGAGGGCTCAGACAAGGTGATTCACTCTCACCTTTGTTATTTTTCATCATTATGGAATACTCGCAAAAAGTCTTTTAAAAGCTTAGAAGTATACCCGATTTCAATTACTATTTAAAATGTGAGAAGTTGGGAATCATCAACCTCAGTTTTGCTGATGACCTTCTCCTCTTCTCAAGGGGTGATCATAAATATGTGGAATTACTAATGCAAGTGTTTGATGAGTTCTCTAAGTAAACTGGCCTCAAGGTGAATCCTGCTAAGTGTAAGGTTTTCTCTGGCAATGTTCATTTGCTGATAAGAATAAAATCCAAGATGCTACTCAATACAGTGAAGGATGTTTCCCCTTTAAATACTTGGGTATCCCTCTAACTAGTAGGAAGCTGAACATAACTCACTGTATGCCTCTAATTGATAAAGTAATGCTCAATCAGTCACTGGAGTGCTAGCTTGTTGCTTATGCAGGTAGAGCTCAATTGATAAAAAGTGTCATCTCTGCCTTAACCAATTACTGGCTCTAATGTCTTCCTCTTCCTAAAGTTGTCATTAGGAAAATTGAAGGCATGTGCAGGTCCTTTCTTTGGGCAGGTGCTAATAAACTTTTTAAGAAATATCCCATGACTTGGAAGAAGGTATGTTCTCCTAAGATAAAGGGCAGACTCAACATAGTTAACCTGGAAATCTGGAACAAAGCTTGCTTGATAAAGCTCTTGTGGAACCTGCATGGTAAGTCTGATACCATGTGGATCAAATGGATCCACTACTACTATGTGAAGGACCAAGACATATGGTCAATGGCAGTCAAAAATAATTCCTTATGGGTCATGAAATCCATTCTCAAGCTGAGGAATATTGTCATTAGCCGGAACGAGTGGAACAACATGGTCCAGACAACAAAATTTCAAACCACGAAAGTTTATGATAGGATATCTGAGAATGTGCAAGAGGTTAGCTGGAGGAGAATCTTATATCAGAATATGGCCAGACCTCGTGCATTATTCACCCTGTGGATGGCTTACCATAGGAAGCTTGCAACCAAAGATAGATTAGCTAGATTTTGGATGTTGAATCATTATACCTATTGTTTTTGTAATGATAAGGAAACAATTGATCATCTATTTTTTCAATGCAGAACAATGAAGACTATTTGGAAAAACATATTGGAGTGGATGTTGATTGATTATACATCTGGGGATTGGATTCAAAAGGTCAAGTGGGTTAGTGATATGAGCAAATCCAAAGCCAGCAAAATGAAGATCTTGAAGTGTGGGCTGGCTGAAACAGTCTATGAACTCTAGAAATTAAGAAATGACAGATGTTTTAAAAATGAATCAAATGAGGTTATAATTGAGGGTAGAATCATAGATAGAATTATCTATAGATGTTGGTTACATCTAAATCTTAGGAAAGAGTTATGTAAGCTTATGATGCCTTAGTTTCTTTCTAGCTAGCTTTTGTTTCTTAGTGTACCTAGACCCCTTGTGGTCGCTTGGTGTATATCGTTTTTTGGTAAATAAAGTATCCTTTTTTCCTTCCAAAAAATACATACCTATGTTGGAGAAGAACGATTTCCAACAATGTAGTCACAAAGCAATTGAAAATGGAAGAAAGATATTTCACAAAAACACAAAAAAAAAAAATTCATCAAATTGTTTTTATCCATCAAAAATGTTAAAACATAAGAAAAACCACAAATATGAATAAAATAAATAAAGTGAAGAAATTAATCCTTTTTTTTCTGTGTACAAAAATGAAAAGATTTTTTTTTGAAAAAGTGAAGAAATTAATTTTAGAGATCTTTGATTTTTGCATACTGAGAGAAAAGAGATGAAAGACGAAAGAAATTGAATTTTTCAAGTCTTTGATTTTTTGCAGTACCTTTGTTGACGCAATTTGAAGTAGAACAACGAAGAAACCCTTGAATTTGCAAAAGCAAATTTTGGGAAAAAAAACCATAAAAAGTGAGTAAACACATCATCCCGACAAACAAGAATCAAAATTTTCAAAAAGGAAAGAAATCAAATTTTTCAGATCTTCTTTTATTTTTTGCAGTAACTTTTGTGACACATTTTTTAATGGAATAAACTTTCATCCAAGTCTGAAAAGGAATAAACTTTCATCAATGTTAAGAGTCCCACATCAGAAAATATATGGTCTGAACATGTGTTTGTTCATCTAACATACATGTTAAGTGTCTCAAGTACTTGTAGTTGTTCGTCTAACAGACCTATTAACAAACCTTTGAAGGTTTTAATGTCGTTGGGATTGAGCTGAAGCCTCTTGAAAACATCCTTTTGATGTCCCATTTTCCATGTTGCTTAGTGATGACTAAGGGATCATTATCGTGAGAGAGGATTTCGGTGGCATCACATATAGAAAAGGCGATGTTGATTCATGATTCTCCATGTTCGCTTTTAGGGAACCCTGGGGATATGATGTTCGCGGTCAACACCTATTTGACGTATTTCCTCTGAGAAGAGCTAGAAATTCCTTCATCGACAAAACACCCTACTATAGTGTTGACCCTGGAATGTAGAGCCTTGTAAGCCATCCTCAGATGAAAATGGAAAGGATGATGATGAAAGAGGTATGGGCCAAGTTAGTTTTATCGGGGGCTCATGATAGGTGCCACTTTATTGTAGTGTATGGTATCCCTACATAAGTGATGGATACTTAGAGGCCTTATTAGGTTTATAACAATTGGGGATTGCATGCGGTGGCGAGAGGCTTTGCATGATGGTTTTATGGTGTTTATGATGGTAAGAGAGATCAACTCACGTGAGGTGAGAGGCTCTGTATTATGCATATAATAGTTAAGTTATGATATATTCTCTCTTTCGTTAGGGGAATAATTTTTGTAGATGCTCTTGGACCTAGTGTTTCCTTGAGAATGAGTAACCACCCACTAGTCAATGGTTGTCCGTCGAATCCTTACTTTCTAGGAAGACGTGGATCGACTATTTACTCCGACTTCTCTCTGTACAAGAAACTTATTTCTCCATATTTCTCATAATTGGGCGAGTGGGAGATGCTTAGAGCGAGGTGATTCCCATCAGGGGGCGACATATGGCGCTCGCACTCTCTAAGAGCTACAAACCTCTCGCCTTTACTAGGTCTTTTACAAATATAACACTGTTATATATATATATATATATATATATATATATATATATATATATATATATATATATATATATATATATATATATATATATATATATATATATATATATATATATATATATATATATATATATATATATATATATATATATATATATATATATATATATATATATATATATATATATATATATATATATATATATTATGTTCTGGACTGGGCCGACGCTTAGACCACCACCAAGCAGGCCCAAGCCCAACGAGGTTAGGCCCAAGAATACCATGCCGACGAGCAGGATCCCCGTTGAGCACATGGTCTCTCCGACGGGCATAGGCCAACATCTGTCGACCAGGACCATCGCTTCTGACCAATAAGCCTCCTTCTTCCCCATCGTCGGGCAGGACCCTCGCATCTGACCAACCACCTCTACCTGTCCGGGGAACTCCTCAGCCCTTCCCCCACATTCTTCACGTGTCTCTCACACGGGGACACGCCATAAAGTAATTGCCCCACGTCCTGGAGATTCGGTCTTCCTCCTCCCAGATAGCGTGAAACAGTTACCCTAGTGCGAAGACCACGTCCTGGTCTTCATGACGCCACATCAGCCCTAGCAGTTACTAACATTGGGCCTGGCAGCCCAACCTAGTGCTAAGTAACTGTTGGCCCTGTGCTGGGGGCTCACTATAAATACCCTCTTCACTAGAGGGTCAGATAACTTAACTTTCTTACTATCTATCTGTACTTGCTTCCACTCTGCTCGTCACTTACTTTGGCATCAGAGTGTGTTTCAGGTACACCCCCTCCTCTTCTACACTTTGGGTGAACAACTTCTAGATCGACGACACGTGGCAGATCATCGATCCCCTTCTGGTCAGGTACGATTAGTGGCACCGTCTCTGGGAACTAAGTTTCCCCGTTCCTCCGAGCAGAGAACCAAAGCTTCGTCTCTCAAAACTTCAGGATCATGACTAGCCCACGCCATGACGATGTTGTTCACAACTCCACCCTTGTCCCCGTTACCAACGATGACGGTCAGGTGGGACATCTCAACTCCGTGAGACCGACGTCAAGGACGACCAGACAGCCTCCCCTTCCTCTAAGGACGCACCGCATCATTTCGTTCCTCGGGCGAGAAGTCCGGTAGTGTTCCAGCCCATCCCAACTCCGGCTGGCACGGACCCGATGATGGTCGCCCTCTTCGCATCCATCAACCAGACGAACCAGATATTATTCCAGCAGAACGAGCGCATTGGCGCGCTGGAACACGACACCTCATCCCACTCTCCTCCGCGGAGAAATCAGCGCGGGAACTCTCAGAGCCCTTCTCCCCAACCACGGGAGCGCCGACCACGACTGGAGAGGCCTCAACCCGTGGTCTCCAAGAAGCAAGCGAGATCGTCAGCACAGAAGGATAGATGCTCTCAGGAACCAAGGACGGGGAGACCCGAAGCCCTGGTCTGGCAACCGAGGGTACAGAACCAACCTCCTCCTCGACAGGGGACCTCACCCCCTCAGTCCCCGATCCTCAGCGACGAGGACGACTATAATACCCCGTTGTCCCGGGAGATCATGGCAGCTCCCATCCCCTACGGGATGGAGAAACCGCCTGTGCTCTCAACGTGCGACGACACTTCGGATCCGGACGACCATCTGGAGGACATCTAGGCTATGCTCGACTATCAGAATGTCCGGGGAGCCATCAAGTGTAGGCTTTTTCCAACGACCCTAAGGAAAGGCGCTATGACGTGGTACAAGAGCCTGGAACCAGAGTCTGTTATGCGTGGAGGGTCCTCAAGGACCTATTTTTGCGACACTTCACCGCATCCAGACACCATCCGAAGACGGAGGCCGCGCTGGGTGCGATCATCCAGGCCCCCGATGAGCCCCTCAGGAACTACATTGAGAGGTTCACGAGAGAGGCAGTCTAGGTAACAACTTCAGACGAGATGGAACGTTACCTGATGGAGCAAGGGCTACGTCGAGATTCAAAATTTTACGAGGCTGTGGCCATCCACCGACCAGACTCCCTCCAAGACTTCCTCGACAGAGCTCGTCATTATATCCGATTCGAGGAGACGTAGGCCACCAACATCGCCCGCGACACCCGGAACAAAGAAACTCCTCGGGAATCCCGAGAGGAAGGGACCTCGGGCCAACGCCGTGGGGGGGGGGGGAGACAGACGACCGCCCCGAGAACCCCGAGAGCAACGGGGGCCCTTCGGACGCTTCACCAAATACACGGCGTTGGTCGCTTCCCGCGAGCATATACTAGCAAAGTGCGCCAATTCAGAATTCGTCCGGGGAGTTGTCCGCTTTCCAAAACCAGCACCCACCAAAGCCAACATGGACAAATCTAAGTACTATCGCTTAAACCGAAGCCACGACCACGTGACAGAAGACTACATCCATCTGAAGGATGCAATCGAAATTCTGATCAAGGACGGGCATCTGAAGAGATACACCCGTGGAGGAGACCCGCCACGACAGGAGGTCCCCGAGGCTAAGAAAGTCGAGGACCTCCCTCCTCTCCACGACGACCCCAGCCTACAGGTAGCCCTCACCGTCAGCCGGCCAGAGGACTGGTTTGCCCTAAGAGAGTTCAGCCTCCCCACCGAACTTCAGTTACCCGAGGAGCCGGTACGTCCCACCAGCCACTGGGAATACTTCCTGAGGGCAATGGTCATTTTCGGCGGGAGCCCGAGCAAACTCTCAATGGGATCAGTCAAGTGGAAGTTTAACGAGCTTATGAGCACCAACTCCAGCAAGATGAGTACACTTGATAAGTTCCAAGGTCAATCCAACCCGATCACCTTTTACCTTGAGGAGCTCCCCAGGAGGGCCCTCAACTCGAACATTCCCCTCCTAATTTGGGCACAGATGGCCAACTTCGACATCCGACGCATCCTGGTCGATGGGGGGAGCTCGGTGGACATCATGTACACCCATCTCTTCGCGACGCTTCAGCTCGACGAATCCAACTTATCCCCTACCTAGGCTCCGATCTACAGGGCTTCAACGGGACGACGACGAGACCGTGGGGGTACGTGGAGCTCAAGGTCACATTCGGGGAAAAGGAAACGGCCAGGGAGATCAACGTTCATTTTCTGGTCGTCGAATGCCCGTCTCTGTACAACTGCATCCTGGACAGGACAATGATGGTCGAACTTACCGCAG